ATCTCATGTTATTGTTGATGAAATTCGTAAGTATTCTTTTTTTTTTTATAAAAATAAATTATCGTTGTGCTAAATGAAATAGACTATTCGAATTAAAAAGGCATCTCTAGTCTTCACAATTCTATAAATAAATAATCGATTTTAAGACTTAAATGTTCTTTTTTTTATCAGAGTAAACATCAGTTAATTAAAGCGTAGCTGACTTTTCTTCCTATTTGTATCAATCAATGAAATGTCCAGTAGGGAACTGTGGGTCCTTCCAGACCCGGACTCGTTCGGATCTAAAGTTTTATTTTTTGTTGGGTCTGGTTACACCATTTTGTGGACCCGTCATTCCCCAGATGAGAAATCCAGCAACAAGATATAACTGCACGTTGAACTTTTTTTTTCTGAGAGTAGAGAATAAACAGCTGAAATCATGATCTTTCATTTGTTCATGTACACGAAGGGTGCCAAGTATTGATGAAAAAAACATCGAATTTGGACCCGATCGGGCTCGGATCTGGGTCCAAAAAAACGTGGACTCGCAGCTGCCTAATGTCCAGAGGCGTTCCTAGGTCATCAAGGTTGCATGCGGGCAACAACTGAGAAGATAGAATTCACAATATTTGGAAGGTCGATCTTTATTGTGAGAGATTGATGAACAAAAAAAAATCGTTCAGTTTCGCTGGAGGAAAATGAAAATTTTTCAATGTTGAGGAAATTTTCCGTAGTTGTTTTAATATATTATTTTCGAAAAATTTTCTCCTAAATAATGAAAGAATTTTATTAATGTCTGTATTTTGAGAGATGTTTAATATACTTTCTGTATAGATGAACGTGATATAAATACAGACTTTTTATTGGTTTTAGTTTGTGATATGCTTAATGCTTATCCTCAATTGAAAGTTATTCTTATGTCTGGTATGTTAAAATATTTTAAATAATTAGAATAAACATTTTTATAAGTTTTTTTTTAATAATTATTTAGCAACGATTGATGTAACGTTATTTCGTCAATATTTTTTTAATTGTTCAGTAGTAGAAATTGAAGGACGAACATTTGGTGTTCGAGAATATTTTCTTGAAGATATGATTCAATTACTTAATTTTCAACCAATGAATTCATTAACAAGTCGAAAACAAAATAATAAAAATCGACAATTACAAGATGATGATGACGATCTTGGATATGAAGATTCACAAGCAGATGATATTGAGGTTTTCATTGTTTTCTTAATTTTTTTTTCAGGATGATCATTCCGACTGTTAGAAATGACAGCTTAAATTACATTAAATCGATATAAAAAGGCCTAATCTGGAAAAATCGTCGGTCATTTTTTTGGGTGGTCATCCCAGATTAAGTAGCGTTTCCATTAAAAACTGATGTTCAGTGTCCGGACTATACTTCATCGAATAATGTCTTATTTACACTGTTTTTTGTCACACACGCCTTATTTAAACTACTTCCGTTATATTCTAGATAACTCGCTGCTGATGTTTTCTATTATCACATGAAATATTCTGTTTCATAAACAGAAGTTTTACATACATATCTACCAGCATACGTTACATCGAAACTAGATGTGGGATGAAAGGGTGCAAACAGAGACAACAGTTATACTTCCTATGCATGAAAATACCATCAAATATGTTTTCCCATAAAGTTGTTTATTAATAAAAAAAACACGATGATTTAAAAAATATATTTTTTAACAAAAAACTCACTGCAGACGTTTTTAAACGTAAACAAACTGTCGTTTTGATATGTGTTGGGAAACATCATTGAAACTTTAATAAACGTTTTAGAAAGTATCTAATAATGTTTTTAAGATACTTTTTTTTTATTCTGTAAGAAAACAGGGGAAGTAGAGCTGTAGGAACAGTTTACAAGCCGTTCTATTTCATCTGGGTCTCCTTGTTTTTTTCATTATTTATAGTTTTTAATGAGAATATTGCCATAAGGACTTGAACTGTTATTAATTTTTTGTCGAGTTCTATTGTTTAATTTTTCATCGAATTAAATTGAAACTTATTTTTGTACAGTCAAATCAAAGTTTCAGAGGGATTTTCAGAATTTTCTTGAATCTTCGATTAATCAGCTCGTGACATTTAACTCAAGTTTTACAGAACCATAAAAGATATTATTCCTAATGAATAAGTGTTGGTCCTGATCTTATCTACTTCTACCTTGATGATTAGTTCATAATTGATTTTATGTTGAAAAAACCTAAGATAGGAAATGAATTATAAATGTTTTTCTCTTTTGAAAGGATGTTAATTGTAATGCCATATGTGACAAAGAATATTCTCCACAAACAGCAGCAGCAATGAGTCAATTAAGTGAAAAATCACTTTCATTTGAACTAATTGAAGTAAGAAAATAAATTCAATAAAAAAAAAAAGGAAAAAAAAACGAAATAATTAATTTTTAAGGCATTAATAAGTTATATCTGTAGTTTGGGTGATGATGGAGCTATATTAATATTTTTACCTGGATGGAATTTAATTCAAGCATTACTTAAATATTTTCAACAACATCCAAGATTTAGTAAATTATTTGTTTGTTTGTCTATTTTTTTTTTGTTTCATTAAATATATAACAATGGTCATAGGTAGAAAAAAAAGAAATTCTTTGAATAAAGTTTCTAAAAATATTTAATATAACTTTTTATCTGAATCAATAGATTACAAAAATTTTCCTCCATTGTATCAACTTATAAAATACATGACCAAAACTATAAATAAATATGTATGCTGTCTTTTTCACTATGGAAATCTTAGATTTATATATTGAATGCCATGTGGACGTTGAAAATCCTGTTTTTTTTACTTGAAAACATTAATTGTATAATATTATCTTTGTTCTTTTTTTAAAATTAATTATATTTAATAATACAAAAAATCAAAAGGGAAAAATTATTATCTTATACGATGGCGATGAACGAATTGCTCCAAATGCTGCAACGAATTTGCTTGAACGTGGTTATAACAATTCTTTTTTACTTACTGAAGGTAAAATTTTCTAAGAAATGATCATTTGAATTTCGATAAGATTGACAGTTTTTGTGATATTAGTTAAACAATTTCAAAATGTGTGTGTGTTTTTTTTGTCTTTTCAACAGTATAAAAGATAATAAGTAAACGGTATTCATTGAAATAAGAAGTGTTGATAGGAGCGTTTTTTTGTTTCCTCAATTGAAATGTAAAACACACTTTTCAATTGACTCTTAGATTTAATATT